ATCGATTATTAAATTGGTCATCGATTATTTTAATAATGGATTAGTCGTCGACTAATCGTGGCAGCCCTAATAAGCAGTTTGCACAGCATCAGTCATGCTTGTGACCTCTGTCTCAGTGTCTTCCACAGTTTAAAAAATACCTGCTTTTACATCTCAACAGTTCTAATTTTTAACTTGTGGTTAAATTCCTACGACACTGAAAAGTTTTAGACGGTATAAATGTAGGTGATAAAACATCAGGGGCCTCATGTATAAACGGTGCGTACGAATAAAAAAGTTGTGTGCTCCAGGTTCTATGCCCACGTTGTGATGTATAAAAACCAACATTGCGTGTATATTTACACACACTTTTCACCTGCTGTGAGAATGTGCAGCAGACACACAAAGTTTTTCAGTCGACCGTTTTAACTCACAAAGTCATGAATCTGASCTGAATCCACAGAAATATGACTCTGTTGTGTTTTCTGGATGTAAGGAGCGTCTGAACACGCTGTTAGATTTTTATTTTACTTTGAGTTTTTATTGTTTAAACTGAACGATGATGAAACTGAATATCATTTAACCTCAGACAAGAAAACAGATTAGTCTAAAAATGATCAAAGACCCTCAGTCCAGTCTGTAAACTGGTTTTATTGTTGTCATGTAGTTGGAAACACACACAGGGCGCACACACAGCTGAGGAGAATAAAATGTTTGTGAATTGTAGGGCTGTGTATTGGCAAGAATTTGGTGATACGGTACATATCATGACAGAGGGGTCACGATACGATATATCCCAATATATTGCGATATTATAAGCAAGGCGATATATCGTGATATATTGCGATTTTTTTTGTCCAAAAATTCTATTAATTAAAAACCTCTTACTGGGAAAAAATGAAAACCCAAAATTCATTGTCTCAGAAAATTCTAATATTACAGACATACTTTTGATACATTTAGCTTTGTTCTGCTTTGTATGCTTTTTATTTTATTTTTTTCTTATTTCATCCATGTTTTCAATTATTAGACTAAATTTGACAATAAATAGTTTGAAAATATATTTTTTGCAGCTTTTAGTTTTTAATATT